TGATGTCATCATTCTGTCTAATCGCGGCTGCCAGCGTTTCTATAGAGAGGTTATATAACAGGGGTGCCATTTCTGATTGGGAACCAGTTTGATTGAAACATAAATCCTGAGACTCTAGCTTGAGGATCTTTATATAAACGCCATTGTACACTCCTTAAAGAGACCCTCTATGCCGAAGGCCTTCAAAACCTCTTCCAAATACTTCCAGTTAACACGGTCGAAGGCCTTCTCGGCATCAAGGGTTACCATGGCGAAGGGGGACAGACTTTGGTCCGCATGATATAAAACATTCAGTAATTTCCTAATGTTATCCGATGTACCCCTACCTTCTACAAATCCACTCTGATCTATATGAACAATATCAGGTATGTTTTGTTTGAGTCTATCGGCCAAAATTCTAGAATATACTTTAATATCTAAATTAATAAGAGAAATTGGTCTGTAGTTCGAAGCATATATTGGATCCTTATCTACCTTAGGGATTGGCATTATAGAGGCCTGGAGTAATTCGGATGGGATAGTTTTATAGCTGGCAAATTCTTTAAATGTCTTCAATAGATATGGGGAAATTATATCATTTAATTTTTTATAAAAAAAATCGATGAAAAACCATCTGGACCTGGTGCTTTGCCCGCTATTAATACTTTAATGGTGTTACTAATCTCCTGAATGGAGAATGGAGCATTGAGCTGATTTAATTTCTCAGTAGATATTTTTGGCAGACTTAGTTTATCCAGGAAATGCTTTGTTTCCCCTGCAGGTGGCTCATTAAATTTTAAATTAAATAAACTTTTGTAGTATTCTTCAAATGCATTGGCTATTTGAGTTGGTGAAAATAGTTTTTTATTTCCAGCTATTATATAGTTTATAGATTGAAGTTTATTTTTATTTTTTAATTTATTTGAAAGGTTTTTCCCTGTTTTATTATTTCCATAGTACCATCCCTGCTTTAATACTAACATTGCTTTATTATTTTTTTCTTGAGTTCTTATTAGTATTTTTCCTGATCTCCTTAATATCCTCCAGAATTTTATGATCTAGAGTAATCTTATGTAGACGTTCTTGTTTTACTAAATCAATATTAAGCTCATTCAACTCTTTCCCCTTCTTTTTCTTTGTATTGGCACCCAATTTTATAAGACATCCTCTCATATATGATTTAAAGGTACACCATAACATAGCGTTAGAGACGTCCCCTG